TCTATCTGTCTATCTGTCTGTCTATCTGTCTATCTGTCTATCTGTCTGTCTATCTGTCTATCTATCTAGTGTGTGAGGAGGGGCACACATATGCACATGTGTGCATGTATGAAAGTAAGCATGTCATGGTGTCCATGTGGAGGTCAGGGTAAGACTTGCAGGAGTCAGTCCTTTCCTTCCATCTTGTGGGTCCTGGGGTCAAGCTCAGGTCACCAGGCTTAGCAGCAAGTGCCTTTCCTCACTGAAGTATCTTCCTGGTCCTGTGGCTTATTTTCCAGGCAAGGTCTCACGTAGTCTACCAGGTCAGCCTCATTCAGTAGCTTATCTTGAATTGAGCTTCCTGCCTGGGGTTGGAGCCGAGGGCTTTGTGTTCACTAAAACAACACTCTCCCACTGAACTCTGCCTTCTCTCCCTCACCACCCTTTTAAGAGGTTCATAGTTCTTGGTTAATAGTTCCACTTTGAGAATTTATTCCAGAGTAATACATGAGAGGCACAACAAGACATCATTGTTGAGTTTTTTCCCCCCTGCAAAACCCCTGCATAGAAGGGTCACAGCATGTCAGTTTAGCAGCATCGTATCTGAGGAGCATTTATCGGTGAGGACTGCTAAAGATGTAACCGTTAGTAAAGTAGAACTGTGTTCCATACATGAACCGATCATGGTTGCTAGAAACCACGCAACCTGCAGGAAAATGCTGCAATGTTTGCTGTGCGTATTCCCAGCCTAGCTGAGTATTAGCGGCGACTCCGGCTTCTTTTTCAGTTATGCTGGCTGGTGTTTTATTTTAATTAATTAATTAATTTTTTGCAGATGTGACACAAGCCAGAGTCACCAGTGAGGAAGGAGCCTCAAGTAAGAAAGTGTCTCCATTAAGAAAATGCCTCCGTAAGATGGGGCTGTAGGCAACCCAGGGGGCCTTTTCTTAATTAGTGATTGATGGCGTTGGTGCCAACCCTGGACTTGTGGTTCTGGGTTCTACAAGAAAGCAGCACGAGCAGGCTATCAAAGTAGGCCAGGAGGCAGCACCCCTCCTTGGCCTCTGCATCAGCTCCTGCCTCTAGGTTCCTGCCCTGCTC